AAAGAGTCTTCTTCCGTTTAATCCCCGATTAGAGTCTGGTTGTCTGAGGAAATTTTCTTTGCAAATTTAAAAGCTCTTGAAAAATTATATTTAAAACAAAATACAAATATTGCCTCAACGGCCATGAAGAATATTCTTTATAAAATTCTTAGAGTTCTTTTTTTGGAAACTCCTCGACTTCGTTTTTTTTTGTTTTTTGCAAAAAACATGCTTCAAATTTTGCGATTGTGGCTCTAATAGTCCTATAAACAATTTCCTTTAAAAAATCCACAATTCCGTCATCGGCAGTCCCTAAAAATATTCGAGTCCTTGATGAACTAATTTAAAAAAATTTGTATTGGCTTTGAATAATCATTCTCGAAAAGAAAATTAAAGTCTTTAAATTACTTTTGTAATAAGCACGTCCTTGAAAATTTTGAAAATTCCTTCAAAATCTTTTTCTAAAAAAAATGACGTAAGAATTGTTATTAGAAAAATAGGTTTAAAACAAATATTTGTAAAAAAATCTGTGATTGTTCCTGTTGAAATATTTATCAATTTTAAAGTCCTTTAATTTTTTTTCTAGAAATATTTTTGTTTTTATAGAACTATTCTTGCAAAGAATCTGAGAGTCATTGAAAAATTGTTTCCATAAATGAGAAAAAAGAAAATTACAAATGCTGGATATTATGGTCCTTTGACACATATTTTTTCAAACTTCTTTAGTCCATTTCAAAAATTGACAATTATAGCTTATTCTTTAAAAATCCAAGATTATTACCCTCCATTTTTCGATTTTCACATTTGTGGCTCTAATTCCTAAAAACAATGTCCTTAAAAGATCAATTATTCTGTCCGCTAAAGTCCTTAATAATTTACGAGTTTTTGATAACATAATTCGAATTAGCTCCTATTGTCCTTGAAGAATTATTTTTAAAAAGGACCTTAACGTCCTTGAACAAGTACGCTATAAATAGAGTTCTGTAAAATTATTTAAAAGTCACGATTGAAAGGACTATTGGAAAAATAGTTTTGAAAATTCGAAAAATCCACTTCCGAAAATCCACGACAATCATACACACGTTAGTCTTGAAAACCAATTCAAGAAAATTACCCCTTATTTTCTTTTAAGACGAGCATTTTTGGCCCTTCTAACTGGAAGCCATAATTAGGTATTATGTAATAACAGCATAATTACGGCTTATTCTATGAGACAAACAGATTTTTTTTAAGAAAAACTATGTCTTTATTTATTAAAGACCTCCATGGGGTCTCTTGTGTATGTAAGACCTATAGAGGGTATTTTGTGTATAGAAGATCTACAGTAGGTATTCTATTGGAAAACCTTTGATATTCGATAGTAAAACGCATTTTTAGTCTTCTGGCCTTTTTAATGGAGCCTAGTTACACGACTTTTCTATAAAGGTTTTATTTTTGATCAGCCTGCCATGTCTTCTATCAGAATTCAACAAAATACCGGCCATTGGTCCTCCAAAAATATGTTATATTTAGAATTTTCCACTATCCTATTTACTTGCATTAATTTTCATATACATCCCCAACATAGATTTGTATTTACTAATTTAATAAATATTTATATCCCACATACATACATACACAACACACTGTTATTTGTCATCATATAATTCACCTCAACACCCATCCACACCATTCATTCATTTCTACAACAAACATTTATAGCAGTAGAGTTATACCTAGAGTGGCCATAGCCTCTGTCTATCACTCCGCTGTAGTAACAGTAGTAGTAGTTGTGGTGACAACGACAACGCTTTAGCTTCTTTTTCGCCATCTCATCTTCTTGACATTCATTGTGTCGTTGTTGCCGCTGTGTGGTGGTAAAAGTCATTTTTCCTCATCAAATAACCGGGACACATTAAGTTCCATTGCTGTGTTGCATACCTTTCCTTCATCTCATTGCATCTCATTTCACCACACTGCACCGCACCTCGTTGCATTGCTCCACTCTCTGTGTGATCTTTAAATGTTAAGAGGATAGAGCAATGGTGTTTTGCTTCAGTTTACATTTATTCATCGTAGAGTTTTTTCCCCCCAGTTCCATCATTCCTTTCAAGCAGATACACACACACTCTTACACAGAGATTCATTCATTCATCTAACCAAACATTTAGTCATTCATATCATCTCCATATTAGAGTCTATGGATTATTTCTAGATACACAGAATAAAAACATTGGATTTTGGGGAAGAGGATATTGTTTGTTGAAGAAGATTCAAGACTACTGAGAAGACTTCCAGAGGACTTTCCATACATAAAATATCTCCAGGGATTCTTCTAACTATAGAAGACCTATATAGGGTCTTTTACGTATAAAAGACATCAAACGAGACTTATATGTAAAAAATACCTCCATACCTCTATAGAAGACCTACAGAGGGCTTCTGTGTACGGTCAGAGGGTCTTTTCTGTATAGAAGACGTTCAGGGGGTATTCCCTGTACTGAAGACCTCTAGAGGATCTTCCGCCTATAGAACGCCTCCAATGGGTCTTTTATTTATGGAAGATCTACAGAGGGTCTTCTGTATATGGAAGAACTCCAGAATGCCTTCTGTATACGGAAGACCTTTAAAGGGTCATTTATATATGGAAGAAGGTCTTCTTTTTATAGAAGACCTCCAGAGAGTGTTCTGTGTATAGAAGACCTTTAGAAGGTCTTCTGTATATAGAATACCTCAGAGGGTCTTCTGTCTGTAGAAGACTTCCAGAGGGTCTCTGAGTATGGAAGATTTCCAGAGGGTCTTTTATTTCTGACCCACCGGAGAGTCTTCTGCGTATAGAAGACCCCAAGAGGCTATTCTGTGTAAGGACGACCTCCAGAGGGTCTTTTGTTTACAGAAGACCTCAACAGAGTCTTCTGTGTATGGAAGACCACCAGAGGGTCTTCGATGTATATAATCCCTCTAGAAGTTCCAGGAGGTCTTCGGTGTATCGAATACCTCTAGAGAGTCTTCGCTGTACAGAAGACCTCTAAAGAGTCTTCGGTGTACAGAAGACCTCAAGAGCTATTCTGTGTATAGAAAACCCCCAGAAAGTCTGCGGTGTATAGAAGACCTCCAGGGGGTCTTCTGTGTACAGAAGATCCCCAGATAATCTTCTCTGTATAGAACACTTCCAGGGAGTCTTCACTATATAGAGCACCTCCAGAAAGGCTTCTATGCTCGGAAGTCCTCCAAAGGGTCTTCTGTATTTAGAAGACGTCCAGATGGACTTCTCTATGTAGAACATCTCTAGAGGATCTTCGATGTATACAAGACATCCAGAGCTTTAGAAAGTCTTTATCCAAAGACCTTCAGAGCGTCCTTTATGTATAGAGGACCTTCAAAGAGTCTTTGGAGTATGGAATACCTCCAGAGGATCTTCGATGTAGGAAAGATCTTTAGAGGGTTTTTTGTGTATAGAAGACCTCCAGGGTGTCTTCTGTGTAAAGAAGAGCTCCAAAGTCTTCTGTGTATTTAAGACCTCTAGGGGTCTTCTGTGTATATAAAAGACCAGAGGGTTTCTGTGAAGAGAAGACCTCCAGAGGTTCTTTGGATATATAAAAGACCTCCTGAGGGTCTTCTGCGTATAGAAAATCTTGAGATGGTCCTCTATTTAAACAAGTTTTCCAGAGGGTCCTCTATGTGTAGAAGAACTGCAGAGGTTCTTCTGTGGATAGAAGTCTCGTGTGTACAGAAGGCCTCCAGAGGGCCTGTATAGAAAGCCTACAGGGGGTCTTCGATGTATAGAATACCTCCACAGGGTCTTCGATGCATGGAAGATCTTCAGAAGGATTTCTGTAGACAGAGGGTCTTCCATGTGTAGAAGTCCTCAAAAAGCTCTTGATTTCATAGTAGAATTCTCCTCTGAATAGAAGACCACCCTAGAGTCTTCTGTGTAAAAAACATTTTCAAAGGGTCTCCTGAGTATAGGAGACCTCCAAAATACTTATCGAGGGTCTCCTTCTGTAGAAAAGACCTTCAGAGGGTCTTCTGTGTATAAAATGTCTCCTGAGTGTCCTTTATATACAGAAGATCTCCAAAGAAACTCCAAGTCCTTGAAAATACTTCGAGAGGGTCTCCTTCTGAAGAAAATACCTTCAGAGGGTCTTCTGTGTATAAAATATCTCCTGAGTGTTCTTTATATACAGAAGATCTCCAGAGAATCTCCAAGGTCTTTAAAATACTTCGAGAGGGTCTTCTTTTGAAGAAAATACCTTCAGAGGATCTTCTGTGTATAAAATATCTCCTGAGTGTCCTTTATATACAGAAGATCTCCAGAGAATCTCCAAGGCCTTCAAAATACTTCGAGGGGGTCTCCTTCTGTAGAAAAGACTTTGAAGGGGTCTTCTGTGTATAAAATATCTCCTGAGTGTTCTTTATATACAGAAGATCTCCAAGGTCCAACAAATAATATCCGACGAACATTATCCTTTGAAGGACACTTTCTTTCTGTGCATCTGAAATTCGTCACATATTTAAAGGGATTCCTTAAACAGACATAGCATAACACATACAAATGTAGCAAAGCATTCGAACAAGAACAACAACAATCACCTATACCACCATATACCTACAAGTAATCTTGTCGATGTTGTTGTTGTTGTTGTCGTTTTGACAAAATATCCTTGCGACATGCTTGAAAATGACACTCTGAGCTAGGACTTTGCCATGTCTGAAGGCAGGAATAGGAAAGATATACATCCATACATACACATGTATGTGTGTGACAACACACAAACAACACATGTCTGGCCAGGGAGAGACACAAGGTGACCATAGCGGAGTCTCTAGACTCCAAGTGGATGGACATGTGTTGGTGTAACTCTGTGTATGCGAGTGTGTGTTTATATATACATCGTTGCTGCAGTCTCTAACTCTCCTCCATATCTGTGCTGTTTATGCGCTTTTTTTGCGACTTGGCTTTTGTTGCTCGTCTTACTCTTTTTCTTGTTCTTCTTCTGCTTCTATGTGTTTTTCTGTTTTATTTTTCTTTCTTCTTCTAGGATGGACAACGTGGTCATTTAGAGGGCCTAGCATCCGTTTATTGTGAATTGTTAATGGCTCCCTTCGGAGATATTTTAAGTGCTTTAGAAAATGCCAGACAAGCAGCATGGGCTGAGCGCAGTCCCATGAATCCTGCCGGCGGCAGTGGGAGTAGCGGTAGTGGCAGTGGCGTGAGTGGCATTGCCACGCAGCGGCTTCACGGCCATCGAGGCAATTCCAGCCGTGGTGGTCATCTGCCGAATAGTCATAGTCAGCCCATATATGTGCCAGGAAAATATTCGGTATGTATGAAGCTACCTCCCCTCAGCACTACCTAACCCCCTCCCCCTCAACCCACCTAAAAGAGTCCACAATACCCATCACTAACTGAAAATCATCACTAGTAGCTACATCATCATCACCAACAACTTCATCATCATCATCATCATCATCCTCTCTTAACCGCATTTTCCCATAACACATATTTTTTGTCCACCAATACCATAACCCAAAAAAAAAAGAAAAAAGAAAAGAAAACTATTACAACTATTCCAACACCCCCAAATGACCGGGAGCAAGATAAAAAGTATAGAATATCCTTGAATGGAAATTGAAGAAGAACTTGTTTTATGTTTTCATTTCGGGTTTTTTTATTTCATTTTCTATGCTTTGATTTGATTTGGTCGGTTGTGTGTTTTCTTTTTCGTTTGGTTTTGTATTCCCTCTTGGCCCTGATTGTGAATTCTATTTCGGGCAACACACCAAATTCAATAATCCCAAAATATATATATGTTCTCCGACATGCCGGCTGCCAATAATATTTTTCGTGCTGCCATAAAACAAGATGTTATGATGCATGTGTATGTATGGGTGTGAGAGTTTTCCTCTATGTAAATTAATGTGTGTGTGTGTATTAGAGAGTGTGCCTATTTTGCATGTTTGTATGTTTGCGTGTCTGCTTGTTTAGTTGGCTGTCTGTCTGTCTGCCTGCCTGCCTGTTTGCTTGTGTGTGTATGTATGTATGTTTGCGCTTTGATTCTTGTTTTGGAAGTGTTGTCAAGTGTTTTTCTTTTTTTTTTTTTTGAGTTCTAGGCCTTTGGAGCCTATGTTGCCCTGAGTGAGTGCCAAAGGTGGTGACGGCTTTGATTAAGTGTTACAATCAACATACAACAAAAAGCGTGCCATGAACGGAGTTGTTTTTTTTTGTATGTGAGAATATGGTATATGTGTGTGTATGCATGTATGTGGGCATACATATGTGCGTATCCGCACGAATATGGTGTTTCCGCGAATTACTTATTTCCACAAAGCCACCGCAACATTGCGTTAAGTAAAGTTTTCCTTTTTTGAATTTGAGGGAGGTCTAATCAGAAAGGTTGAGACAGAAAAATGGAATAACTCGATCTGAAAGTTGATTTCAAATTTGGGAAAGGCAAACCTATCTGAAAGTGTATATAAGGTAAATGCACCTTTACTTAGATCGTATGTATCAAATTATGAGGTCCATTTTTGATCTGGATGTAGCTCCATTTGCTACACCTCGGAATATTCGTCGGAGTGGCCTTTGGGTATAATAATTGAATTCTTCATAAGTGTTAAAATCTAAGTCGATTTAAAGTTGGAGCAAAAACATACCGGTCACCTTATATTATGCAGTTGCTATTGTAATTGGCCGAATTTTAGGTATGGTCCCCATATAGAGGTACCTCCTAGAAGTGTGAAGATTTCCCAACAACTTGGTAAAAATAAGGCATTTGGACCTCTCATTTGATAAGTTCTCCCCTTTGCAAACAGAGGGTCTTCAGATGGTATACTATATATTTTAAGAGACTTGCGGAGGTTTTTTTCATGTATTGAAGGCCTATTTGTAGAAGAACTCCAGAGGGTTTTCTATTTGCGGAAGACCTCCTGAGGGCCTTCTATGCACAGAATAGAGAAGACCTCCAAAGGGTATTCTATATTTAAAGGACTTTTTGGGGGTCTTCCATTTGACTATTGTGTATAGAAGATCTTCAAAGGGTTTTATGTATAAAGGACCTCTTAAGGATCTTTTGGGCACAGAATAACTGCATCTCTTTTAAATATGGAAGCCCTCCAGAGGGTTTTCTATGTATAGAAGACCTCCATAGAACATTTTGGGTATAGAGGGCCTCCAGAGGGTATTCTATGTACAGAAGACCTTTAGAGGGTCTTCTATGTACAGATGACCTCCAGAGGGTTTTCTATTTACAGAAGATCTCCAGAGGGTATTCTATGTACAGATGACCTCCAGAGGGTATTCTGTGTATATAAGACTTCCCGACGGTCTTTTGTGTATGGAAGACCTCCAGAGGATCGTCTGTGTATAGCAGACTTCCAAAGAGTGTATAACGGACCTTTAGGTGTTCTTCTATTTGTAGAAGAACTTCAGAGAATCTTCTGTGCACTAGACCCCCATAGGGTCTTCTATATAAAGAAAACCTCCAAGGGGTATTTTATGTACAGAAGACTTCCAGAGGGTCTTCTTTGCATAGGAGAGCTACAGAGTATTTTCTGTGCATAAAAGGCCTCCAAAGCGCCTTTCGTGTATAGAAGACCTTTAAAGGTACCTTTAAAGACTTCCAAAATATTTTTTTGTATAAAATGATTGTTTGTATATAAAAGAGCTTCGGAGTGTCTTCTGGTACAGAAAACCTCCAGAGGGTCTTCTGTGTGTAGAAGACCTCCAGGGTGTCTTCTATGAAGACTTTCATAGGGTATTCTTCGTATGTAGATGACTTTCAAAGAATCTTCAGTACATAGAATCCCTCCAAAGGATATTCTGTGTATAGAAAACCTCCAGGTCTTCTGCAAAAAAGGTCATGCGGAGGGTCTTCTATGTATAGACCCCTCCCCTTTAAGGGGTCAAATTTCTCATGTTGTAATATTCATATCAGACTTAGTCAGATTCGAAATGGACGATGTTGGCTCTCCTTCCTTCGGAACCCCCTACCCCTATTACTGGTGTACATTTTGAATAATCATATGACAGGTCAAAATATGTTTTAATGAACGAACTTTTTTTTACTTGTTTTCTAGAAAAGTAGATTAAAGCATTTCCCTGTCATCCGCTCGCTTCTTTAACACCTACATCTGTTGCTTCTTATTTTCAACTACAAATTCTTGTATTTATTTCAAAGGGAAATTTCTTCGGTGTCCCCCTCCAGTTTTTTGGTGGCAACATTTATTTAGCAGTCATCTCTTCCACATGTATGCGCATACATCTTGTTTCGATTTGTTTCCATTTTTTGGTTTCAACTTATTTGTAGCTTGGTTTTCTTGTTCCGTTAACAATTCCCGGGATGCCTCAAAGAATGTACCGTAGAAAGAAGAAATGTAAACCAAAAAAATACCGCCCGAAAAGGAATGGAACTGCACACAACAGCGAACAATAACTTTGACTTTGCTTAACGTTTGAACGGCCAAAGCATAGACCCCTTCAGACTGCGAGCGGAATATGCAGAGCAATTGCAAACGTTACAAATGTATGTTTCGGTGTGTGAGTGTGTGCGGTAGTGTTGACATGCCCTTTAGGGGATTATCTTCTATCATCCTCCTATGCCATAGAAAGGCAGTGAGTGCTAAGCGACTAACTCACTGACTGACTGCAATCAGCTGACTGACTAAGCAGGAACAAAACCGAGGAGACTTTTGCAAGCAACAACAAGAAAATCAACAACAAAAAATAGAAAATAAAAATAAACACTTCTTCAATTTCTGGTACCTTTGCCTTGATGGTCTTTGTAATTCTGCATAAACAAGGAACAAAAAAATAAAATAGGGGGGAAAAAGTTCCGGCACATGAAGTAGATACATGTGTAGGTGTGGGTGCGGGTTCCAGCCAGGTTTCTGACTGCTTTCCTTTTCCCTTAATCGGCAAGCTGCTGTCTGGCAAAATACGTATGCGAGGGCGTTTTGTGTGATGTGTCCTTTCTGATTCCATCTTCCACCTTTGTGTGGTGCGGTCGTCGTTTGGCTGCATTTTAATGCAAAACAAGCAAATTGTTTTCTCCTTCTTCAATCCTCAATCTTCAATTTTTTTTTTTTCAAGTTTTGTTGGCTCAACTTGACTTGGCAATAAAAAACGACAACACCAACCTGACTATACTTCAAAACTCAAACACGAAATACTTCTTATTCCCAAACGGGAGGGGGTATGGAATATCTAACAAATATATATGCGAAATGATGACAGGGGGCCTAAAAAAAATTGAAAAAAGGGAAAAATATTCCAAAATGTTTATCTAAGCAAAAGTTCTTCTAACTCCAAGTCCGTCGAAGTTTTAAAATTTTTTTAAAATTTTGGGATATTTTTTCTTATTTTTTTTTTGTAAATTTCCTCAAATGGCCCCACTGTGTGTCTATGTTTGTTAACATCTAAATTCTTGGGGTATTACGTTTCACTAATAAAAATCATGTATTTTTATTTCGTTTTTTTTATAATTTACTGTCCCCAAGCAAATGATCTCGAAAGAGAAGGAAAAAGACGATGGGCATGAAGCTCCCACAGACATGTGTGAATATCATCAAATATTCCTTGGCACTCAAGTGTCCTTTCACTTCGCTTTTGTTAAATTCATGTTCAGACAAATTTCTCTAACAAAATATGATATTTGTACAAAGGTGGCAAATAAAATTGTCTGCAATTTATTTTTTTAGGAAAAGAGAGATGGAGGAAAATTAATTTGTAAGAAAAATCCCAAAGGAAGTGTCGGAAATGAACATGGTTATAATTAAGAAACAGTGATGCCAAGATTTGATACTTAAAAGAAAATTGAGTTTCCGATGCTGAAAATTAAAAAAAAAAAAACAGTTAAAAAGCACCAATTGGAACGAATTTGGAAATTTCAAAAAATAAAATCTTTAAAAAATGCTGTTAAAATTTTAAAAATACCGAATATAGCCGTTATATTGGGGTCTATACGACGAGGACCTACATAGACATTGTTTGTCATAAGTCAGCCATATTCAAATTCGAAACTTAAAATAAATGTATATAGGGATGTACCGTTATATCGGAGCTGTGCGAAGACCTGGTACAGCATAGACAATTTTCTGTCACAGGCTGCAGCATCCATTACGAACTTCAAATATGCCATCTCAAACAATGTGCGAAGACCTGGTACAGCATAGACAATTTTCTGTCACAGGCTGTAGCATCCATTACGAACTTCAAATACGACATCTCAAAGAATTTCGGTGGGTATTGTACCTAAACTCGTCAAAATACCGAATACGGGGAGGTACTGATATATGGGGCCCATACAAAGACCTGGACCTGTAT